TCAGCCAGAGGCTTTTGTCAGTGCATAGTACCCTAATATAGTGTGTAAGCTTGAGAAATCTATCTATGGATTGAAACAAGCACCTTGCAGATGGAATCTTTGTTTCAATGAGAAAGTCAAAGAGTTTGGATTTTCGAGGAGTGAAGATGAATCTTGTGTATATGTCAAGGATAGTGGGAGTATAGTTAGCTTTTTGGTATTGTATATGGATGACATACTACTCATAGGAAATGACATCCCAACCCGGCAGGAAGTGAAGTCCTGGCCTGGGAAGTGTTTCACTATTAAGGACCTTGGAGAAGCTGCCTATATCTTGGGGATAAGAATTTTGAGAGACATGAGTAAGAGACTAATTGGACTTAGTAAGAGCACCTATATGGATAAAGTGTATAAAAGGTTCAACATGAAGAACTCCAAGAAAGGTGAGTTATCGATCCAGAGTAACGCTAGACTGAGGAAGACTCGAAATCTGAGTACAAAGGTTGAGATAGTAGAGATGAGTCGAGTTCCATATGCTTCTGTTGTAGGCTCGATAATGTATGCTATGACTTATACTCGTCCTGATGTGGACTTTATATTGAGCATGGTCAGCAAATATCAGGGGAATCTTGGCAAGGATCAATGGACTGCGGTAAAGAACATTTTCAAGTACATATGGAGAACTAAGGAATAAGTCCTTACCCTTGGTGGGAGTGATGACTTGAGAGTAGTAGGGTATAGTGATGCTAGCCTCCAGACTGATAGAGATAATTTCCGCTCTCAATCAGGCTGGGTCTTTACCTTAAACGGAGGAGCAATAACTTGGAAAAGTTCCAAGCAAGAGACAGTAGCTTATTCAACTTGCGAATCAGAGTATATAGAGGAAAGCGAGGCAACAAAGGAGGCTATATGGCTAAAGAACTTCATTGCAGACCTTGGAGTTGTACCAGCTATAAAGGAGCTTATGGAGATTTTCTGTGATAGTGAAAGTGCGGTTGCCTTAGCCAATGAACCAAGGGATCACGGAAGATCCAGACACATCGACTAGAAAATACCATTTCATTAGACATTGAAAGAAGAAGGACTCCTCGTGGCAAAGAGGGTATCATCATATGAGAACCCAGCAAATCCACTCACGAAGGGACTGAGTAGGGTTAAGCATCTCCAACATGCGAGGCGCATAGGGCTGAAAGATGATATTAATTTTAGTATTTAGATAGCTTTGAAATGTGTAAAGTGTAATTGATATTTGATGATGAATAAAATTTGTTGTTTATTTATGAGTAAAGTGTTGCTATATTTTGTCAATCGTTTACTATCGTTTCATTTTGCATGTTTTGACTTCAAGAATAATTATGTTATGGTATTTCATATTATTCAAATTCTCCACAGTCGGTCATATGTTGGAAGTAGATATAAATCAAGACTGTCATGAGTTGGCTTGTAGATGTCTAAGATGTTGGACAGAGCAAAGTGTTGCTACCACACTCATGAGTGCTCATAAGTTCTGAGTATTGGATTCAACCCACGCTCACTTGTATCACTTCATGGAATTTATCTTGAGTGATAGTGAGATAGTAATATCATATAAGTCTTCAAACCTAGAGATATGAGTTGTTGCCTATGAGTTGGTTATACATTGATTGTACGAAAACGCATTGGTAACTCGATGTTATAAAACGTGCCTTTGTGTATAATTCAACAAGTAGTAGAAGAAGCATATGAGTCGAAGTTTATCTGTTCCTTCTTAGATTAGAAGCGATATCTGGGCCCCTCGATGATTTTGTGTTTACCCATGTATCGGGCCCCATCAGAAGTAAATTGATGTGTTCAATTAAGTTCTATGTTAAACAAATAGGAAATCAGGAAACTAACTGCTGGACAATAAATAAGACATTGTTCCATGTATTTGTCTGGTTGATATCTAGAACAGAGGACTAGATGATCCCTTATCTAAAATGATGCTTCATAGTTCAACAGAGTTTTAAGAACTACGATTGCTAGTCGGTTCCTGAAGTCATAATCGCAACTATATTTATTAGACTTATCCAAGTGGGAGACTGTTGGATAAGGTGTCTATGTCCATAACTATATTTGAGATGTACTTGACCCGACCCGACATAGTCCATTTGGGTTGCACTTCACCCGAACAATTTATATGGATAATCTTTTGAGAATAGTATAAGTTAAGATTTATTAATATATTATAAGTTCTAATACATTAATAAGAAATCATATTATTTAATTAGTATTGATCTAAAATTAATTTAGAATTAATTAAGTGATCAAAAGTGTAACTAATTAAATATGGACTCTTGTATTTTTATAGTGTGGGCTAATGCTTATTTAGAATGGGCTAGGGTTGCATGGTAAGTCCATGGAGCTTTAACCCATGGATCTCATGGAAATGAAAGGTCATGGGTATTAGGGTTTACATGGATGTAACCCTAATCCACCACATTATATAAAGGAGTCCTTGACACTTGAAACATAACTAGTTTTGTGTGAGAACAAGGGTGGGCCGATTTCAAGAAGTGATCTACTATTCTCTCAAGTTTCCAAGGTTTTTGGTGATTTGTGACTTCCATTTGAGGCATCCATATTATTGGTTCTAGGCTCTCAAACTCCAAGCAATCAACCACTACTAAAAGGTATGAACTCTACTAGCTTATTTTGTTTTAAAGTTCCCCATACCATGCTAGTTAGGTTAAGAACCTTGGAAAAGAAAATTTTCATGTATCTTAGTAAAACATAGATCCAAGGTTTCTAAGGTTGCATGTACACCATAGGAGTGTTAGAATACTCAAAACCCTTCAGTAAATTTGTTAAAAATAAACACAAACTGTTCTTTTAAAAATGAAAAAAAGTGACCAAATGTATAAAAATGTAAAATCAAGGACCCTTAATGTAAATATGTCAAACATGGAACAAATGTGTAAAATTGTAAAAAATAGAGACTATTATGGTAAATAATTAAAACATGACCATTTTTGTAAATATGGAAAAAAAAACACACACACACAAACTGTATAAATGACCAATATGTGTGTTCACTCACAAACTAACATGTATTAACTAAAGGACCAATATTATTTCATTAACATCTTTTTATGCTTCATCATTATGACTAATATTGAAACACCAAAAGTTCAAAGTTAACAAAAAATGACCATCTGCCCGTACTCATATAGAAACAACAATCACAACCAAAGAAACAACAATCACAAACAAACACCCCACATGTAACTCAAAAATATAATGCTATTAATAGTGTTGAACAATAACCATTACAAGCCCATATTTGAATTACTTGTTAACATAAATAGAATTTTGTAATTGGCGTAATGGGTAGATCTTTCATAAGGGAAATGAAAGTAGAATGTTGCAGTTGCATAAAAATTGATTGAACTTGTATAATAAGCTTAAGAGTAACTTATTTAAACGTAACATGCTATCTCTATTGATGGTTCTATGTTTTTTCTAGTAGGATGCTATAAAATGATATTTTTTTCTAAAAAGTAGGGTGTTGTAAAATGTTGTATTTAGGCACAAATAAACGTTTAAGGGAATGGAGGCTACAAGGAGTTAAATTATAAAAACGGAGATGTTACATGGTTTTAACAGATCCCATTCAATATTTAGCCTAATTTTTATTATAATTTCTTCTTCACTTTCACTTTCAAACCATTAAGCAGTAGCCATGAGCCACAAATTTGAAGTTTATGATTAGACCAATTGTACACAAATTATATTGTTCTTGGTTTCATGTAATAACTATCTACATTCCAACTGATCAATTCGTAGCAATGTGTTTCCTTAAACCGTGTTGTATATACTAGTTTTCATTAATCCTGTTTTTAAAACTTTAAATCTGAAAGTACTACTACCATGCCTGATTTGATTGATTCTTTTTTGGATTCAGTGCAGTAGTACATTGGATGAATCGGATTATATACATGATGTGAACTTCTTAATACATTTATAAGATGAAGAGTTTATATTTTTGCACAAACGATTAATCAAAACACATATTACACTTTATATATATATATATATATATATATATATATATATATATATATATATATATATATATATATATATAATGCTATAAATGATTAACTAAAACATTAAGACATTACTTGATGGAGAATTAATCAATTCAACATATGCAGAATCCGTATTGAATCTGATACCTCAAAGATGTAGAAAACATAGCAATTTGAAGTCTGGTATCTCAAAGAAAGAAAGGAATCAAATAGGATATCAGTATTAATTTTTTGAGAAGATAACAACAGTTCCTAATTTATTGGCTAATATTATATCGATTTCAATTTCTAAATTAGTCAACGATATATTTTTCCTGAATTGAAGAGATAATTGTATAGTTTCCAATTTAAAAAGATTTTGAAATCGGTATCAATGATCAATTTTAAATTTAATGGCTTATCAAATGCAAACCGATTTTGTTGGAAAGATCTCATAAGATGATAGGTGGCATATGCTAACGTGGAAGGTTTAGAAGATGTCATATATATTATTAAAACTATTGTTTTATTAATAAGGATAGATTCACATGTTTAGGCATCATGCAACATTTAAATTAACTTGTGATCGCTTTGAAACCACTTTGCAATAGTTTTAGTTGTTTTGAATTTCTCCATTTTGGGTTTAGTGTTATATTTGATTGGACATAAATAAACATAATATGAACTTTTTCTTCAACCGTAACAGATAACACAAATAAGTCGAAACAATAATAATGGAAGCCAAAAGTACTTATACCTCACAAACATTTTAAAAGTGTTCTAAATGTAGATCATTTGAGTAATTAATTTTTTTTCGATGTTGCTACTTTTTTAATAAAATGTTTTTATGTAAAAAAAAAACGTGATTAATTAATTGTAAAGGACGAATTAATAGCCAAAAATTCATTTTTGATGTATTTTCTTAATTATACTGATCATAAACTTATACAATATATTTACTAATGTTAACTGCTAGATGCACATGCACATAGACAATATCCCTATAAATATATGGTATCATCCATAACTCTTTCTTACACCAAAGCAAGATATTGTAAGAAAACAAACAAGTTACACTCTAACAATGGCAGAAATGATGATGAAGGTTTTATGTGTTGTGGTGGCTTTCATGGTGGTGTCAGCGCCTTATACAATGGCTATTACTTGTGATGACGTTGTTAACAAGTTGACCCCATGCGCAAACTACCTGAAGAAGGGTGGCGCAGTGTCAGCGGCATGTTGTAAGGGTGTTAAGGGACTGCATGCGGCAGCTAAATCAACCCCTGACCGGAAGACCGCCTGCGTTTGTATGAAGGAAGCATATAAATCAAATCCCGGCATCAAACCAGAGCACGCTCTTGTTCTTCCAAAAAAGTGTGCTGTTAATATTCCTTACAAGATCAGCCTTAAAACCGACTGCTCCAAGTATGTCCAGCTTAAATTCTCTCTTTTGGAAATAAAATAATTGCATGTGTTGTTGTTTCCTTTTAATTAAGCATGTGCAGTATTTTACTTGATTTACGGTTCAATTTTTAATCGATCTTCAAGAATTTAAGCATATTTTATAGAGATGATATTACAAATATGACCATCTTTTGTAATTATAATATTGAAAATTTTAACAATCTTTTAGACAAAAAGCGGAAATAACCATTGTGTTCAAAACCAGTCGATTGCAAAATACTTTTTGATTTGTGAAATAGGTTTTTCCAAAAATATAATTTGGTTAGCTCCAAAATCTTAAACTTTCTCACTCATCACTCTCGTTCGAAAGTCGAAGCTTTTTCCAAAAAAGTAATTCGAACTTCCGGCTTTTTCTACCGCTATCATTCTTATCCTCATTATCTTTTCCCTTCCCTCGCTAGTCATTATCTAAATCATTTTTATGGCATAGATATGGACAAATTAAATATCCTACAAAACATTTGATTTTTCCTCTACTTCGCTTTCGATTAATATAGGTGTAAAAACTGCTCCCTCAATAAATAAAACATGACAAAAATTAAGGAGAAATAACATTTTTTTTTCTATTTGGAAATTGTAAGAAGCATTCCGAAATTGTGAAACTAAAAGTTAGCTTTCTTTTATTACTACGTTTTAAGGGGTTTTTTTTGTTGTGTTGAAAAACAATTTCGAATCTTTGGAATCTTAAAGTAAGTAGTTGTGAAATTGGTGGTAAAAATGACATTTAGAAATTACATAACTTTGGTGATCATCTTTTTGAAAATTAGAATGTTCAAAGATTTATATTATTAATATATTATAAGACCTGTATACTATACGAGTTTATATAAAAAAATTAAAATATGAAGGTTTGAACATATATGAGTTTGAATTTACAAGAAAACTCCGAAAAATATCAAATATTTGAAATTGAAATACTTATTTCTCTTTAAATTAAAAAAATTAATTAATAAAAAAATAATTGGTTTTTAATTTAGTAATTTTGAAATTAAAAGGAAAATTTATTAATAAATTGATATACATTTATTATAATTATTACATTTAAAAATTATGTGAAATTTAATAAAATAGAAAGAAAAATTATAATGTAACATATGGAAAACATTTAATTTAAAATAACCATAAAATAACATGAGAGAAAATTAATAAAAATATAACACATAACAAAAAAAATATATTTATTAGAGCAAATAGTGGAAAATATATATGATTTAAAGATAATCCCGTGTGCTTCATTATGCAGGGTGAAGTGATCAGCCTTATATTGAATGTATGGACATGGAGACATGCGTTTGGGTTCCGAATATGCAAAAACATGTAATAACAACTATCGGTAAAATAAAAACAATAGATCTGGTTCTCCATTAGGTTCTTGTTTTGTATGTCGTTGACATAATACATTGTTCATGTTATTATATTATGCAGTAAGTATGGTTTTCTTCATAAATGATAAATGTGTTGCATTTGGTTTTATAAAAACACACATATACATACATGCTTCTTTTGGAACAACTATGACTAAAATAATGTAAAAAATGGCTAAAATTGCATTTAAAGAAAACAAAGAAAAATACAACAACAAAATTCAACAAGCCATGACCATGAACGGGCCACAACACTAATCAAGCCAGTGAATACTAAAATTGTTTATTTCTTAAATTGAAATTGAACAATTTGACTTTTTTAAATGAAGCACAAATACAAAGTACAATTGATTCAAGAACATACATTGAAGCTAACCTTACAAGACATAGGTTTTTACTAAAAGGAAGTTGATACCGTATTAATTGGGGGATTTAAAGTTATTAAAGCCCATAAATGTTTTACAAGTAACAAGTGGTTTCAAAACCTTTAAAGGATATCGTATTAACCTGGGTGATTTAAATTTATTACAAGAGATCAATTTATACTTGTAACGTCTTAAAACTCAAAACCAAATTTTTTTGTTTTTATATTAAATAAAAACATCAACCAAACGTGTTTATCAAAACCAAAGGGAAATCGTAATGTATCCGTAATTATCCAAAATACATAAGAGTCAAATAAGTGAAAAGTCATAGTGTATGTGATGCAATCATTCTGAGCTCTTCCCTTTCGATTCGGAAGTACCTGAAACATAAGCTGAAAACCATAATCACGAAGCTTAGTAAGTTCTTCAAGATACCGCTTAACATACATATACGTTAGCTCAACGTTGTACCCGGTCTATTTCACCCCTGGTTCTATTTCACCCCTGAGTCTATTTCAATTCATATGTCAACACAAAGTTGTACCAGGTCAATTTCACATTCGAGTCTATTTTGATTCATATGTTAGCACAAGGCTGTATCGGGTATATTTCAACCCGGGTCTATTTCACTTCAAATCTATTTCAACTCATATGTCAGCATAAGGCTGTATCGGGTCTATTCCACCCATGTGTCTATTTCACCCCACATACATATAGCAAATAGGCACATATATATATATATATATATATATATATATATATATATATATATATATATATATATATATATATATATATATATATATATATATATATACCAGGAGTCACAAAGACTACAAGCACACATGTAATCCCTAATGTCCTACAAGAAATGTCCGTTAAAATTTCATAACTTCTTCATCCGACGTCCGTTTTCTTCTGTCTTTTTACCGTTGAGATCCTATTGACGAGATCTTCGATTCTTATTTAGGTTGTGTAGGCTAAAAATCGCTCGATCTAAAATTTGCACTCCGAGTTGCGCACTATTATACCAAATCTTATAAAATACATAACTACGTCATACGAAATCAAATTTGAATATTCTTTTTATGCACGCTCTCGCTTTAACGTATACTATAACTTACGTTTCAATCTATAAGGATAAAAAACACTTTATCGAAAACTCACTTTTTACGTCACACAACGTCGTATTGGTTTTATCGCGAAACTTCGATAGGTCATAACTTATTCGTTATAACTCGGATTTCGACGTTCTTTATATCTCCGGAATCCTTGTCAAGATCACTACAACTTTCTTCATAGATATCCAGTTTATCTAGCATTTTATTTTTGACGCTTATTTTTATTATATCTTCATAGACAAGTATATAAGCACATAAAATCACATAATCCACATAATATTCAAGTAATTCATCTTTATTACTTCAAAAAAAAAGTTACATTTGTTGACCCTAACTATTACATCGTCGTATCAATGGTTAGCCTAGAAACACGGGTGTTGCATTATGCTCTACATATGGAAGGAGTTCTTTGACAGCCTCAATCAGACCCTGTTAAAATTGTAAATTATGTCAAAATAGTTATGCAACTAGAATGGGAAATGAAGGATAAAGAAGTAAATTACCTTGTGTTGATCAAATATGAACTGTATCTATCCTAAATTAAGTTCCAAGTCATCAATGAGTAGATCTAAAAACCACTTATAGTTTTCCTTATTCTCTACTCAAACTACTACCCATGCAATGAGATAAATTCCATTGTTTGCATCCCTTCTAACAACACATAACAACTCCCCTTTACATATCCCTTTAAGAAAACAATCATCTAAACCTATTATGTTCTTGCATCCTTCCTTCCACCCCTTCTTCAATGCATCTAAGCAAACATAGAACTTACTAAAGTAGTTCTTTCCATCTAGCATGCAATTCACATCAAGCTCCACAGTGATACCTGGATTTGATCTCTTAATCTCTTCTGCATCTAACAACTTTGTGAAATGTTCAACAAGTGTACCATCTACTAATCACAGTGCATATTTCTTATCTCTCATGCCTTGACCAACGCTTACATGAGTACCATACTTCAGTGACATATTTGTTCTAAGCTTTCTAACACTCATCTTTTGTTTAAGTAATAACTCTCTTGTATAATGATTCCTTATCTAAACATAAGTAATCATTGAGACTAACTTGTAGTTTCTTTCACATTTGTGATGTGACTTTAAAGACTTGATTTGGAATCTTGTCACATCACTCATCCAAGATGCCCACAACCTAAATGCGCATTCACCCTTACAACACTTAACCAACAACCTCTTTCTATCATTTTTCTCAAAGCAATGGTGGTACCCATTGGCAACAACATAGTTGCATACCATAGATTTTAATTGAGTTGGATCTTTGAATCTCATACCAAGTATAGGGTACTATTTTTTCCATGGAGTTGACTCATTAAAAATCGAATGTTGTTGAGTTACATTTTCCTCCTCTTCACCCCCATCATCATCTATGTTGTTATCATTTCTCTCTTCCTCTTCAGCACGTAATTTATTCATAAACTCATCACCTTGTGTTCTGTTCATAGTGACCATATCCTCATTAAATTCCACATCCACATCGTTAAGGTTATCAATTTTGTTTTCATTTGCACCACCATCAATGCATGAATCGTCACCATCTTCTTTTTCTGTTTCTATCTCAAAGCCAAACCAATCCTCAATTCCTTGACCATCATGGTCCACATATAGGGAAATATAAACATCGGGTCCAAAAGCATCAAAAATGAAAGTCGCATAATCTCCATCGTTACGAATAATAGTTATCCCATATAATAAGGGCTTACCTGACTCACAGTAGTATAGCTTCTTGATACTTTCTTGCATGAACCGCTCAAGAAAGGTGATACACTCAGAGTATGTCATTCCAGAAAAATCTTGATCTTTGAATGTGAATTTGATACCATGGTTATACGAGAAAGGATCTCGAAGAAAAACACATTTGAAGTTGAGCTCCACTATAGGGTAGGGTCCATAAGGGCTTGGCATCGAGGTTGACATTGTTGGTTGGTTGCCTGATCACTGAGTTCGATCGAAGGAAAACGTGTGGAAGCCTAGTTTTTTCGTTCATGGCTGTTGATAGATGAGAAAAATGAAGAACGAAGGAGTGTACTGGTGTGTGTGAATAAATGTGACTATTTTGACTTCGATTTCTTATGTGGATAAGGCAAGGTAAATATATTATTTATTTTAATGTCACGTAAGAAAGACAACTGGTTGTTCCGTTTACCGGGTTCCCAATGGTGTGATTAGCCGGTATTTTCTAACGATAAGGACTAACCGAGCATAAAACATACATGAGTGATTAATATACAAAGTTACCAAATTTCATTGTGCTACAGTGTCAAAAACTTTTAAAAAACAACTTATTTTTTGGTGTTTACTAGCCTAATAGTCGTTTAGTTCTCAATCACGTTAGACTATTTATTTAATGACAAAAAGTGTAAACGAATATGAGTTGCCCAAACCCAAATGCCGTACCAAAATTAAAGAAAAATTTAGAGAATATTCTTTGGAGTTATCAATATTCAATGGTACCGAAAAAAACCTATTTATTATTATTATTATTTTTTTGCCGAAATCAAGTTAGTAATTTTAACAATGATTTTTAAAGTCGCTTCAAATTAATAGAAACATATTTGGTCAACAATAAATGAGCTATTGAGAAGGGAATGATGGTGGGATTAACGATATGTTAATATCTAATTTTATATGAGTTTTTGAACAAAAATCTTGTTTTTGAAAAAAATATTTACTATATAGGTATAATTTCAAAAATATTTACCAAATAGATATAGTTTCAAAACTTTATATATTTTCGAAAACTTTCAGTTTTTTTTTTAACTACTTTTACATATTCTTTAAATATAATTTTTTGACTTTTTTGTAACTTTTTGTTAAAATGTTTATCGATTTTCGTTAGAAACCGTGAATTATAATTAACAGTCCAGTAGCTTATTACTACTACCAAAGTTTGACAATTTTATTTTAAAACTAACACATTTGCAATTTCTTTAATGTGTTTGAAACCTAAAACACTAACAGTTGCCTACATTTTTTATTCGATAATTACAAACATATTTTTTTTATAGCCCACAAAGGCACAAATACATTTTATTAAAGCAATTGAACTTCAAAGTTTAGAAGTTAAAAACAGTGGCGAACAAAGTGAAATTTAAATTGTTTAATTATTTTGAAATTTCCCTTAAAAATGAAATTGTTTTTGTTTTCAATCTCATGTTGAAAGGCTAGAGTCAGCCAAAGTCAAAATATAGTAGATATTATTAGTATCGATTTCAGTTAATCGGTTGATAAACATTATTGGCCTAAAGTTACAAAATGTCAAAAATAAACATAATAAAAAAACAATAAAAAATAGTTAAAAAACTAAAAGTTAAAAAAGAAAATTCAAAACTATACCTATTTGGTAAATATTTTTGAAACTATGCTTGCTAAATATTTTTTTCAAAAACACCATTTTGGTTAAAAACTCAACTTTATAGTATTAAGTTATTTATGAATGGAAACAAAATATTTTTTTTAAACGACAAACTAACTAATCTATTTCTAAATATAACCTATGTTTTTTTAAAAGACTTAAACATATGACCTCTCCCTTAATTTACTCCTTATCACTAAAACCATTTAGTTGAAAACTAAGTAAATAACAATAAATTCCCCCCCCCCCCTAAATAATGAATTAAGTTATACATAGAAAAATTTAGCCAATATAAAATTTAAATACTAAAGAACTTAGAAACCTATATATTTAGCACGTATAGTCGCTTAATGTTCATAGTCATCAACCAAAATGTTTCTATTGTTGTCTGTTTTTAAAATTTAGAGTTCAAGTCTCACCAGGAATATAAATTGATTCTGTGAGTAATTTAGGATTAGATTTAAATTGTTCCAAAAAAATAGAAACAATTACATAAACTTAGTCATTTCTATATATTTTTTTCCCATCTGTTAAGGTGAAGGTAATTTGTTTTTTTCTTCAGAAAGCACGGACTGACGAAGAATAAACCATAGTGACAATTTATATAATTTTATCTATATTTTATATTAATGAGTTTGTAGTTTTTTTACTATTTTATTTTTTTAAATGGTACTCTCACCTTCACTTTGAATTTCATAAAATATTATTTTTATCCCTTCATTTTTTAAATTTTCTGTGTATCCCTCGTAATACGTATAATCTATTTTTCATTAATAACTTTTATTCATCAGTCTAAAAAAACTAATTTTTTGCATACTTATCTTTATATATGTGTGTATAAACTCAATGTGGTTAACGTTTAAAACTTTTGTTTGTTAATTTTTTTTTTAAAAAACATTTACTTATTTTTTTATGCACATGTCGGTTTATATTTAAGTTTGTCTACGTTTCAACGTAATTTTTTTACATAAAAAATATTACGTCAAAAGTAGATAAACTTGAATTTAAACCGATAAATGTATAAAAAAAAAAAGAAGTAATTTTTTTAGAAAAAAATTAATGAATGAAAGTTCTAAATTCACGTTAAAACATTGATTATCTTGAATTTATAGATACAAATATCACTACAAAATATATGTCATTTAGTAGCACATATAAAATACCACTAAAAATCCAAAAAAAATGTCACTATAGGTTACTCAAAGAATCAGCGACACAAATAAAAAGTGTCAATAGAAGCACTCCCATTAAAATTCTTTCGTGACACTTTTCAGATTTGACGCTGCAGCATTTTGGTATATTAGTGACACATTCTTTATTTGCCACAATAGAAGATAAGTTTTATGTGACATATTTATTGTACCGCCAAATACTAGTTCATTTCTAGATTTTATGTAGTTTTAGTAGCACTTTTTTTACGTGATCCTACTATAAAAGTTTTTGTGGCACATATTTTGTATCCTTAAATACTAATGCGATTCTTTAATTAGACTGCTAATAACGAAACATTTTTAGCTATAATATAAAATAAGAAAGGTAATTAAATTATAATCCATCAAAAATAATAAAAATTGTTTTAAATCAACATCAAATTATTTTAAATGTCGAACCACAAGACATTAAATATAAAGGTAACTAAACAAAAATAACTTTAAATTTCATTCGAGTTTAACTTCTTCCCCATACTTCATGATACTTTGAATAACCTCATATATAACCAATGCTAGTAATCCCCTGTTACATACACAAATGAAGATCTCAAGATTTATTGTAATTTTACTAGCACATTATTTACCTTCTTAAACACAATACCAAAAATTCTTATGTTAATTAGGATAACATTCTGTCAGCAACCTAGAATCCATATATGGATATTTTAGTGAATATTGTATACAAAGAAAAAGGAAAAAGAATTTAAGAGTATCAAGTGAAATTAGGAATAGAATTCTACCACGTGCGAAAATTGTGTAGACTAGGCGAATAACATCAAGCCACATGTCCATGTACTCATGTGAGTCTGCAATATGATGAGAAAAAATAAAGAAATAATATCAATTAATAAGATAATTAAATACAAATTTTAAAATGTTAATTAAAATTAGAAAGAGAGAAATTGGAAGTACGAAGAAGAATGGTCCATGAATTGTATCAATGGAGAATGAAGGACCTGATGGTAAAGTTAAATTTGAGCATTCTTTGACTGAAACAATATTCAAAATTTGAACTTGAATACTTGTTCCATCTTGAGATATTTACTTGTTTATCATCATGATTCTACAATAATTGGAAAGTGAAAATCATTACATCAACCGAAAATTACACTTAACAACAACAACAACAAAAATCATATACCTATTGGTTCAAAACAAAGTTAAATCTTTTCCAGTCACATTGTAGTGTGACTGGATTTCCTATTGATATGGATGTAAATTACCCATCTATAAATAAGGTTAAAGGAAAAAAAAAAAAAAAGTATAAATTTGAATAGCAATCTTTTTATGTAAATTAATGAATAATATTTACCATTGTCCACACAAGCTACAAGGCACTTGTGTAAACCTGAATGTATAAGATGGACGAAAAAGTCATTTAAACAATTTTAAAATTTTACATGAAACAATAGAAGAATGGGTATTAAATGAGTAATTTGGTTTCAATACATGACCAACAACTATATATTGCATAATCAATTGAAAGGAATCTCATTTCCAACAACTATTATTATGTGTTCTTGAAGTGTCTTCTACAAATCCATACTACAAAATAAAAGCCAAGATTATTCTTAACAAAAATATCAAAAATCCTGAATAGTATGCAATGTTATTATATTTGGAAAAGGTTTACATAAATTTACTAGAACATTGCCAAGGTTGTAAACTGATCTATGGAAGTTAAATTGCAAATGTAATGATGCACGAAACTTCATATATAAGTAATAAATGTGGCTAATAATCAGTTATTCATGGTGAAAACTTATAAGAAAAAAGTGATGTTTTAATAATATTTTCATATACCTGATTGAATACTAATTGCACTTCTTACTATTGTCTGTTTTTCACAGGCAGGAACAAGTGCACCTAATTCCTATGACACCCATTATTGATGTTAATCAATATACATAAATAAAAGTATAAAGAATATAAAATTTTAGGGACTATATTAAAAAGTGTTAAATGAAGCACTTGTAATGCAAGTCTCTAGTAGTTAAGAGCAAAAAGTTAATTTCATCACAAAGCTATAAACAAGAAGTAGTTTTATATATAAAATAGAGCTACATATTTTTCTTTATTTCTTTATAAAAGTTACACGTAGATTGTTCCAATTTAGTTTAATGGTTATTTCATAATTCTTTGTTGCATGTTTCCATAGATATTCAGCTTCCTTTGTGCGTCCATTAGGATTCTAGTTTTGCAAGTCTATAGAGCACTCTACTAGATGGACAACATTCAATGTCATCATTCATCAACTATGTTTGAGATTGAAGATACAATATACATGCTTGTTACCATATAGAGGAGTACATATTTATAACCAGAAAGCCATAACAACCTAATATTAGAAA